TATAAATGCTTGGCCTTAGCTTAGGCTCATTTCTTGCTAGCTCTTATAATTTAATTTAACCTGTTTCTCTTTATCTACATTTTGCCTCCGGGCTTTTTACCTTTCTTTCATTCTCTATGTCCTGCTTTCACTGCTTCCTGCATGACTTCTGGCTGGAGGTCACCTGACTGGCTGACCCCAGGAATCTCCCTGTCTTTCTCCCTTGTTCTTTCCTCTTCTCTACTCTCTTCCTGAGCCTAGATTCCTTCCACTACTTATTCTCTCCGCCTGCCTGCCAGCCAGCCTTGCCTATCCCCCTACCGCCTAGCTATTGGCTTGGCCTTTCAGCTTTTGACTAGACCAATCAGGTGCCTTAGACAGGCAAAGCAACACATCCTTACATAATTAAACAAATGCAGCATAAACAAATGTAAGACATCTTTGCCTAGTTAAAGTAATATTTCACAACAAACTACCAGTCAATTATGTATAAGAACCTTCCTTTTTAACTTTCTTGTTTTATTAATTTGTGGGGAGGGAGAAGGAAAGAAATATGCTATATAGCCCTGTCTGACATGAAAATCAAATCATTATGTAGACTAGTTTGGCCTTAAACTTAAACTTTTGGTGATTTAGTTTTATGTTAGGGTTAGCATAAACCACTTTTTTATTTTGATTTTTACAATTCTTTCAAATAAGCTGATGTTACTTGGCATCATCTCTGAAAATTTAAAAAAAAATTAAATAGAATCAACAATACGAGCTTTTAAAATAGTCATTCAAGATAAGAGAAAAATTAAAAATTTTCATGACACTAAATTTCACAATAATTACCTGGCTATGACAACAAAAGCACAAAACAAACTAGAAAGAAATATTAAATTGGATCTCACCAAATTAAAAAAAAAAAAAACTTTTAAGTATCAAAGCACACTATCAAGAAAGTAAAAGAAGACCTGGGAAAGGAGGCACATTTACAAATCATGTCTGATAAGAGATTAATTTTCAGAATATGTAAGAAATCCCGGGTTAGTGAGATTGCTCAGTGGGCAAAGTGTTTACCACACAAATAGGAGCACCTGAGTTTATAAAAGCAGGCTATGGTAGTGTACCTCTGTAATCCTGGTGTTTGTACAACAAGATAGAAGGCAGAGGGAGCAAAAGCTTTCTGGCCAGCTAGCTTGGCATGCATACTCAGTGGTGAACAGAGACAACAGACAGGGGACCTGTTTCCAACAAACACCTGAGATTGTCCTCTGGCCTCCACACCAGCCATAGTACACATGAGGCTGCAACCACATAGAGAGAGAGAAAAAAATATTCTCAAAAATGAAGTGGGAAAAACCCCACCCTCAGGAGATGAGATAGAAGTGATACCAGAGAAATCAGGGGTCCCTTCTTAGGGTTCTTAATTCTAATTAATAAAATGAATTAGAAAGGACTCAAATGGGAGCTCAAGGATGATTATTTTAGAGTTAAAGGCAAAACTCCAAATCAGGCAGTTGTAAATCTCAGAAGCTACCTGGAGGAGGAAGGGGAAGAGAGAAAGGCATGCTGTTTGGGTTAAGTCTCATGGTGGCCGGCCACATGATGGTCAAGCACCTCCTGGCAGGGAGAGCAGCTTTAAAGAACGGGTAAGGAAGATCAAAACATCAGGGGAAGAAAAGAAAGAAAACAAAAAATTCTATTGAGACCAGCACCTGAAAGAGACAGAGAAGAAGAAAAGGAACAGTATGCCTGAGTTGGTACTCAGAAAGGTGAGCAGACACAACAGAACTTCATAGCACCCTGTAGGGTCTGCCTTGGGGCACTTCTAGGAAGGAAAAATACACTGACTCATTTAAAGACTACTTGTTCTTCCTAACACTTTCGCATGGCATAAGGTAAACTCACCATCCTGACGGTTGGTTCCTTGGCCAGATGACAGGCTTGCTCAACTGGATTAACTATTGAGGGAATAGACAACGGCACATAGATAGATTACAGGTGTGTGCCACTAGGCCTAGCTAAGAATTTTGTAAACAGGAATGCCTCTTACATGTTAATGAGAAAACTCACAGCAGAGGATCCACACTGAGCTTTCGAAAGGCAGGCAGCTGATTATAAAAAGAGGACAATCACAAGAGTAAGTCCTTTCATCCACCTGACCTCAACAGATGGACAGATGGGTTGTAAGTAGATCACCTGTGGCCTATAACTCAACAACTCCATCATGAAGCCTGGGGGAATCCAGACTGGAGTGGACAAGGTTGTGCTGGATGGGTAGAACAAGAAGAGGACTTGCAGGCTCTGCAACCCTACTCTCAGCTTACTCTTCCATGATTTCCTGCATTGCTTCCTTTATAATGGCATTAGTATAGCTCCTTCCTGAGTGCTGTGGTCTGCTCCAGGAAGGTTGTGAAAACCTTTAAGTGAGTTATTGGGCAGGCAAAAGCAAGGGTAGCCTGGGGACCACAATTGTGTTTAGCATCTGAAATGGGGGTAGTCTTTAAGGAAATGAACCATCATGTGGTGAGATCTATGTTCACACCTTGATGCTGGTGTCAATTAAATTTGTAGACCAGCAAGTTGTTTTTAGGGTGTATTTATTATATGTATTTAGGGTTTTTATTGCACCATGACCAAAAGCAACTTGGGCAAGAAAAGTGTTTATTTCATCTTACACTGAGGGAAATCAGGACAGGAACTCAAGCTGGGCAAGAACCTTAGAATCAAGAACTGAAGCAAAAGTCTTCTCACTGGCTTGCTATTGCTTTCTGATACCACCCAAAACCACCCACCCTAAAGTGGCACCACCTCCTATGGAATGGGCCACCCTTATCAATCATTAATACCTCACAGGCTTTCCCACATGCCAATTTCATGGGGGCATTTTCTCATCTAAGGCACTTCTTCCCCAATGTCTGCAGTCTGTGTCAATTCACATAAAAACCCGCCAATACAGTATCAGAAAAACACCAAGCACCAATGCAAAGTAAAACAAGTTAGACACAAAGGATGACAGGTTGATTCCATTTATTTGAGCTAAGCAAAGTGAACAAATGTATTCAAACAAAAAGTAGAAAAGGTGCTTGGGACTGAGCATGTGTGCAGGGGTTGGGGATGGAGAGCTGATTTTCAGTTGTTACAGGGTCTCTGAGATGATGAGAGTTCTGGAACATTATTAGTAAAGACAGTCCCACAACTGTGTGAATGTATGCTAGTAAACAATATTTGAAACGGTCAAACAATACAACTTGCAGATCCCAGCAAGAGATCTGAGAGGCAAAGGCAGATGGATCTCTGTGAGTTCAAGGCCAGCCTGGTCTACAGAGCTAGATCCAGGACAGCTAGGGCTACACAGAGAAACCCTGTCTGGAAAATCAAAAAACAAAAACCAAACAAATAAAAGCCTTGCAGTTATGTATATCTTACAAAAAGAAAACGAAGCACATTTTTGAGAAATAATCATTATGGAGTTGGTGAGACAGTTGAGCAGGTAAAGACACTTGCTGCCTTGCCTGACTGCCTGGAGTTTAATCCCCAGATCCAATATGGAAGATCAGAGATACAGATGCTCTCAAAGTACCTGTCTATAAACTTACTGATTAAAAGGAGAAAAATAACTTTCAGGAAGAATGGTGCACACTGTTTTAACTAATCAGTTAACTACGATTACAAATGATGCAGATCAATAGGTACCTCTTGATGTGTTCATAAAACCCGCATCACTAAAGTCACAGGTCTGGATCACATATCCTGAATCAAATCCTGATAAAAGCCATTGGAAAAATAAAATAAATTAAGGGCTTCACTAGGAAACAGTCATCCCCTCCATTCCAAATTATCAGTATTATTAAAAACAAAGTAGGGCTGAGACTAATGAGGCAAGAAAACTAAATCCAGCGCATGAGTCTCCTATGGAGGATGGAGCACACAGAACATCTGATAGAACCATTACTGTGAGAAACTAATGAAACATCAGTTTAAAAATATTAATTTTTAAAATTAATTTATTTACTGTGTGTATGTGTGGACAAACAGAATCCACAGTAAACATGTAGGGCAGTCAGAGAACAACTTGCAGACACTGGCTTTTTCCTTCCACCATGTAGGACCCAAGGATTGAATGCAGGTTTGGTGGCAAGTGCCTTTACCTGTTAAACCATCTTAACAGCCCATGAAAACTAATGCATGGTCTGTACACAAAACTATTCTAGTAATGACAAATTGCTAGTTTACTAATCATTGTTCAGGAGCAAAAAACTAGATATGGATGTGGACAGAGGGAAAGAGAGTGTGAGGACAATAGGACCAAGTGGTATTCTAACTATTGCTGACTGTGGTAGAGTATACAGGGTATATTTCTACTCTGACTGCAACATTGGAAAGTTGGAGATTCTTTTTGTTCTAAATACAAGTTTTTAAAGGGGTCTGAAGCTTTTCTCTGCAAAGCAGACCAGAGTCAACATTCCAAAATCCCTTCATGCTAGCATAGGG